TACGTGTACTAGGGTGGTGAAAAAAAGTAAAGTCGGGATTTCAATAATCTGATCCCCTAGGAATGTTTTGTACCGAAAAATATACCCCTGCTTTTTATTTTGAAATCAAAAAATATATATACATAGGCACCCAAAATCCCCAAAAAATGCAATGGAAGGACACATAAAAAATCGTTAGTATTAAAAAATGGTAAAATAAACAATTGGCTATTATTATTGAAAGTCTCGTGAAGACAAATAGAGTTTTTTGATCCAAAAATTTTTGATCTTCCAGAATGCTATACCATTTCACCGATAAATAGTTTTTTCCCCATTTACTTAAAATACAGCTAAAACCTTGAGAATATTTCTTAATTTAGAAATGAAAACAGTGGTGTATTTTTTCGATATTGACTACTCTTAGTGGGTGAGAGCGTTAAGATTCAGTTAATGCTTTTTCCCCTCACATGCATTTTTGAACCACCCGAATGTGTTGTAGCAATTATAATACAGGTGCTCAAACGAATCCAGAGCTCTTTGTAGTGCAATGTATATTCATAAACAATTCAAAAATCCGACCACATCCGCTCTTTTCTTCTCACATATATGTACACACTCGTAGTATATTAATACACTAACATCTTGTTAACTCTAATGGCACAATTAAAGTTCAATAGGCGCCTACTTGGGGCACTCAGTGAAGGACCAATTCTTACTTCGAATGCCTGCAAGACACATTCTTTAACTTTAAATAATCTCGTTCGCTTCCAATTAACTTATTTCAACTCAATCGCATTCCTACTGTGAGCCACGGAAAAACAATACAAACAATTCAAAAATATGTAAAGTTCCTAATGGTTCTTACTTGAGTGGTTACAAAATAATCTATTCGCTACCTGTGGCTTTTCTGCTATAAATTCATGTAAGCAAGCACATATTTACAAAAGTAAATTAAAAAGTCCATAGTTCAGAATCACCCTCATAACCATTTAGTTAACTCAAGTAGCGACCCGCCCTTTCTGATTGTAATAAACATTTTGCTCACCTTTGCTTTGTGGTACTTCTTTTTTCTAAGCGGCCTATATAATTATGTAGGTTCTTATAAGGTGTACTTACATATATATGTAAGTATCTGCTGTACATATGCACAGAGCTTATTCATTGTATTGTTTTTATCTAAACATTATATTTTGTTTCCACTTTTTCTTTTGCTATTCTTGGTTTTAGCCTTTTTCTCTATTGATGACTGGCTTGGTTATTTGATCATCTAGACGGCATTGCCTGCAAGAAAAGCCACTGGCTATGAATTGCTGCCCTCTAAGCGTTTTCCAAAACAACTTCCGTTGATGGTTGTATTCCCAGCTGGAAATTTTCTAGATTTCCGTAATGAATTTTACCAAAGCAAAAACCTAAGAGGTCTCTCGTCGACTTAATATGTTAATGCGTAACTGATAAATCATTTATGGCCCTGCACAGATTTCCTTTAAACGATTATTTTCTTTACGGTTTGTTTTTACTCTGTTATTTACAATTTGGGATCCACTGATCTTAGGAGTATTCCCAGCAAATATATTTATGTAGCTCAATCAGAAATAATTTCTTTGCAACAAAATTTACTGGAAATTTATAATTTTTGAAAATGGTCGACAATTTTTTCTTGTTAAATCACGGTCAGGGAAAACTTGGGATCCCGCAGTGGTTGTTGTTGTAACATCTTACAAACACCCAGGAATTTTTTTGGACATGCTCAAGAAGTGACAGTCCTTGACTAGGTCGTTGTAGTAGCGTAGGCTTGACTATCTTAAGCTTAAAGCCTTCAACTGTTTGTATTGCAGGTCATTTATTGCTAGGGTGTGGCATCTGGTCTTTTACGTCATCTTCAATAATTCGATGTCCAATAACCGAAAACAGAATGACGTTTATATGAACCTAGGGGAGAATGGTGCCCAATATCACCGAGCAATTCCCATGACCTCACCAAATTAAATTATATCGCTTTGATTTTCGATTTGTTAAAGATAAATTTCCATTTTATAGTAGATAAGCAAGTATCATCTCGGCCTAATCTCAAACTTCGTTCCATTAGAGTAAATGGTAGCTCCAAACCTTGTCATTAAATGCAAAAAATAAATGCAATTTAAGTTTATTTTTTTTTGCGGCCTGCCGATCAATCAACATTCTTATATGGCTGCTTTACTACAACGGAGAGGTGTTGCCTACAGGGTAAGGTTTTTCAGGCATTTATTTTGGCCTTACCTACACAAATATTGTTTAATATGTACGTTTATATGCGGGTATACGTATTTACATTAAATAGGCAACGGAAGTACCATTCCCTTATGATTTGTACAAAAACTTATTCAAACCGCGTGAGTCGAAATGTGCAGGATGCCATTGGATAGCTTTATAAATCTGTCGGAATTTTTGTTCGAATCTGCTGCTTCAAATATGTATGTATATGTACGTAATTGTATTAATATGCATTTCTCATGTAATTAAAAATTATACGAAACAGCTTGAAGGCAATTTCGTTATTGAGGTAAAAATTATGTAATATGATTTCGTTAATGGAGCTTGGTAAAACCAAGCAACTGGATAGCAATTTCTTTAAGCACATTTTCCCCCCCAAGCCAATAAAGAATGTACCTAAACAAAAACTTCTGTTGCGTAAAAAAAAAATAAAGTAAATAAAATGCATACCTACAGACGTAAACAAGTAGGCGTGGATTAATGGAAATAAGAAAGGTTTTACCAAGCGTAAAGTTCGTTGAACTGCACACAAATCAACTTTTCAGAAAACTGAGGCTGGGGAGGAGGCATTTTTGTTTGTACGTAATTTATCCCTTATCATACACAAGAAAAGTATAAAAATACTAGTAAATACCCGGCGTGGTTCGCTGCACCTGCATAGTATCAATAATGACAGATATTGAATTAATACACCTTTGAAAAAAGTGCGCGGTATATAGACTCCATTTGTAAGATTGTGAATTGAATTTCCAGGAGAAAGTAGATATTTTGCCTACTTTCTAAATACCTTTAAAGTTAAGAAGAATTTATGAAAATCTCGCTTTATAAAACTGTTCAAATCTATTTAATTTTTCATGAATAAGTCCATAAGAGTTTTTAATATAGAAAAATATGTAACACCACAAAAATAATTTGAAGGCGCAGCTATGATAAAAAGCTGTAAATTCATTATCCATTGAAATTCCAAAAAATTTTCTAGTAAAGCTTTCTCAAACACTTTTTATTTGGTACCAACCTTTATATTTATATTTCATTTAATTTTAATATTTTTAGTTTTTACCAGAGACGGAAAATAATCATTATTTTTGAAATTTTAAGCAAAAAAATCAACAAGTTGTAATCGTCGTAAAACAGTTTTAACTATACTGACGTATTTGTGTTCGTTCGTCCTATTGTAATTTACAACGATTTTTATTTATCGAGTTTAACCAATAAAGATTAAAGATAATAATTAATATTTGAGTTTTATTTTTTCGCTCAAAGGAAATTATTATTACTCGATTATTATTTTTTTGATAAAAAATAACGATTATTTTATGATTTTTATTTTTTCGCTCAAATATAATAATTATTACTGAGTTTAATTTTTTTAATTAAGAATAATGATTATTCAATAAACTTTTTGAAAATATTTGTAAATCAAAGATTTCTCCAATATATTTCGTTTGAAACCTACATTGTAATATTTATTTTGTCTTATCAATTGCATTAAATTTAATTTTTCAAATATGTGGCAACCCTTCTCAAGATATTTTCGACAGTAATTGTAATATTTAATATATCCTATCAATACAATTAAATTAAATAAGTGACAACCCTCCTCGACCATTTTCTGTGAGCCTTTGATGCCTCCTTAGTTGGATAGCCACATTATAATATTTCATCTTATCAATTTATTTACATACAAATTTTCAAACAGGTGGCAACCCTTCTCAAGAATATTTTAAGAAATGAATATTTCGTTTATCTTTTCAACTTAATTGATTTAAATTTTTCAAATTTATGGCAGTCCACTTTCTTTAACCTCTTTAGTTTGATTTCCATATTGTAATATTTAATTTATCTCATCAATAAATTATTAAATAAAGTTTCTTAGACGATAAATGTGCCGAAAGTCTTATCCATAAATTCTTATCTTAATTCTCTGCATATAAACATTATTTTTTAAGTAAAAATACAACAAATGAATGTAAATGTTACCTTTTAAAATAATGTTTAGTTGCATAAAATTTCATCAAAGATCTGAAAAGATAAGAATAAGTATATGAATTAGAAGAGATCTTCGTACTTAATTATTGACATAGTAGCTCTTAAAATTGTCTGGAAAATTCGAGTAATTCGTATGCACATTAGGGTGGTCCAAGAAAAAAAGTAAAGTCGGAGTTTTAATGCTCTCACTCCCTAGGATTGTTCTACACCGAAAAAGTTATACCCCTGTTTTATTTTTTATTTTTAAATCAAAAAATATTTAGCGCTCAAATTTATCCTTGAAAAAAAAAACAAAAATTTTTCGGAGAAATGGCATACAATTTTTGAAAATTAATATTTTTCGTTTGGAAAACTTTGCTTCTCTTCAGAAGACTTTCCATTATACCCCAATTTGTTTATTTAACAATTCTAATTCGAATTTCGAAAAAATTTTTTTCCATCGTTGTGAACAAGACGAATTCTTATAAGGTGGTAGCGGTAGTACAAAAACCAAAACTTATATGTAGGTATTTTGTCTTCGCTTTCGATACAAATATGTCAAAATTTAAGTTATTCTTCGCTCAAGGAAGAAGAGGGGGGGAAAAATTCAACACCTCATTTTCTCACTCACTCATTGAAAATTTTGTCACATGTGAACCGTGGCGAATCAAATCAGCTGTTCTAGCCGTATAAAAATTCGCCTTGGTTGTGAACCGGAAAAATATACATATTTAGTATAATTGCAAAAAAAAAAACGCGAACTTCGAAAAAACTTGGCACACTTCACAAATATTGACTCTATTTTATTGACAGGAGTGCTGACCTTTTATCTGACTGAAGATATGAACGTAAATACATATACATTAGACTGCACCACTCCCCATACACAAAAAAAATCGGTACTGTTTTTCCATTGGAATTATAAAATCTATTATATTATATCTGTTTTGTCATCTGAGGGGACTTTTTTCAGAAAGTTGTTTAAGAAACTATTTTTATTCATAAAAAACTCCATTTTTGGAGGTATTTTCAAATCGCTCCAGCTCGCTTAAATCTTAATATTTTTCCAAAATATTTTGGTGGACGTCTTAATGCATCATATATGTTTTAATCCCGGCGGAAAACCCGCAACTTTTCTGGGTGATGCAGTCTAATGTACATATGTATGATTTTATAAACATACAAA